CATTATAACGCCCCCACGGCTGAAAGGGCGAGCATGTTTGGTGTGACGGGGATTCGAACCCGCGACCCTCAGATTGCGAGTCGAGCGCCTTAACCACCTGGCCATGCCGGGCCAAACATATTTTTAAACGTAGGAAAGCTTCAAACTATAATAACAACTCTGAAAAATGTATCATCTCAGTAAAAAGAAACGAACGTAATATTTTCCAGCAAAAGCTATTGTTTTAGACTGAAAATGGAGCACAAACCTATTAACTTAAGCAAACGACACATATTGAGTAGCTTGCGTATAAGCTCAAGTTTTATACTCTTTAAACTTATAGGGTTATTGTTTAAAAAAAGTTTAATTAATCTATTTGTTTCCTCGATATTTCTAGTTAGTATTCTTATCAAATATTATTTGTACAATTGGAACAAAAAAAAAAGATTTTTGGCATTAATTTAACCAGAAGGAGAGAAGCATAAACCAAAGGTGTTCATTATTCGGGATCTCCGATCACTCCAGGTTCTGTTGTTTGTTTGTTTGTAATTAAGCACAGAGCTACACAATGGGCTATCTGTGCTCTGCCCAACACGGGTATCGAAACCCGGATTCTAGCATTGTAAGTCCGCAGACATACCGCTGGGCCACTGGGGGCGCCAGGTTCTTTATCAAAATATAAATTAACAAATATATATATATATATATAAATAAGAGGAGCAATATTAGCTGACAAAATAATTACAAAAATAAATTAGAAGACAAAAGAGTAAATGTGACTGAAAGTATGAAATGTAAAGCCACGAACCACCGAAGAAACTACACTTCGAAGTAAATCAACAACGACGACGGGGTCCGAAAGTTGTCTCATCTAAAACACAGGTGGCGCAAAACCCCGTGATCCCGGGAAAACAAAATTGAATGAAAGGACATGCAGGCATGGGGATAATTTAACCCTCGAATCAGCTTATGTATAAAGCGTAGAACCTATCCCTCTTTCTATATATATAAAATGGATTATAATTATTTAAAAAAAAATTAATGATGCTTCTCTATATCATGATAAGAAGGGTATAAAAAGTAGGAGCATAGAGAAAACAAAACAAAAAACACAAGCCATCAAACATACTTAATAATGTTTATACAAATGTTTAACCTAACTTTGCTTTTAACATACTTTTTTTTTCATCGGCGCCTGATAAAAGAAAGGAAGGTGGAATAGTACACATGTACTTCATCTATGTTTTCTTCTTCGAGCTTATCGGATTGCATGGGGATCCGAGGTCTCGGGTTCGAGACGTGGTGTTACCCAAACACGCTTTGTATTTTCAGCTGTGAGTATGTTATATAAAAGCTGCAGTCACTCCCGCTATTTGTTTAAGTTTTGTTTGGTTGTTTATTTGTTTGTTATAGCGCAAAATTACACAATGGACTATCTGTGCTCTGTCCACCGTGGAGAACTAAACCCTGAATTTTAGTGTGGTAAGTCCGTAAACTGGCCGCTGATCCACAGGAGGATGAAACGAAATATACCTGCTTCATGTGTCGGGTGTTGGCTGTCTTGTTGCCCTCCCTGTGGTTCGCAGTTCCAAATTAGGGATAGTTATGCCTGAATCACAGGGGTTATGACCTGGTCATTTAATTCCTTTTACACACCAGGTGTCATTCAGTTAAACAAAAAAAAAATTTTAATCCACTTTTACGTTTGTTTTTATTCACTTTGTTTAGAAACATTACTCTTGTCTGATTTTATTCACAACAGATGATACACGTTAACCCTGAATTTTGGATATCACCCTGGACGAAACACTGTTTTCTACTGACGTAAGTATATTGCATTCATCATTAATATAATATCAGCTAAATATAACGCACGGAAGACGCTTAATATAAATCGTAGACACGAGAATAAACGTGTACAGCTTTGTTTTAAAGTCCCAGGTAGTGAAACTGCCTAGTGGCCTTCTGAACAAAACTATTCACTGAACACAGAGGGCTGAGTACGTTATAATAAAACAATTTGGACTATGCAACTAATATAAGGTTGTAGGGGAATGGTATACATTAGGACTATGCAATTAATATAAGGTTGTAGTGGAATGGTATACATCAGGACTACATACTTACTTTGCTTAACGTGACGTAGGTAGTGTGATGATATCGAAAACTGATCGTGTTTTGGAAGGGTATAGAACAGCCCTTCCGATGCAAAATATTCAAGCATTCAAATGATAAATATCTGTTTAAGTTGGAAATTTAGAATTTTCAAGACTCCCCTTGTACTTAACGAAATTGAAAAAAAAAGAAGAAAAAAGAATCAACTTGAGGCAATAAGACTATCGAATAAGAGACCTGCAACAAGTCGTACCTGAATAGCGGTAAGTAAAGTGCGGCGTCTTGTATCAGTTAATGAGAAAAGCCACCCATGTGCTCCAGCAACAGTACGCAACATAATCAAGAAGGATCTCCATCTGAAAAAATGATGCATATCGTATGGACATCGTATACTTCCACGACATACCTGTAACCGTCGCATATCTCAAGCATCTGGAGAATGAAATGGGTATTCATACTATTCCATACGAAGACATTTCGACACAGCACCTATGAATTTCTGTGCGATCGGACTGATAAAATGGGCGCTAGAAAACCTCTTCCTTGTAAACTACAGAAAGCGCGTAGGTGCGTTTTGGACATAACAGTCGTACGACGGAGCTTTTGGCAATGGAAAGGACGCTGCAGGGCTATTGTCAACATGCATGGTCGTAGGATGGAGCACGAATAGTCGTTGCGACATGGATTACAACGACGTGGCGAGGCTCCAAAATTGGTTTAATATCATATATTCAACTTACCAATGTATGTATGTATGCATCAATAGATTAACAACTTTCTATTATCTTCTATGTATTTATTTCTATTCTGTTGTCAGTAGTTATCTATAGTCCACATAATATCATTAAACCATCTACACATGTACACACACACATGCATTATATATACGAACACTGACATATATATATATATAATCTACTGTTGCCTTCGTAAAATATGATATACGCAAAAAAATGCTATTTGATCCATTTCGGAACAAAGCACTGGAGATTAATAAAAACAGTTGCTGCAGTCCAAATGATGCTAATTACAGTCTAGTTAATTTGACAAGGACCTTTCGAAATAATGCAATGCTTATAGCCGTGGCATCTTGATACTACAATTGTTTTATAACTGTGATTTGTTCCTTTTAAATATAGAATAAAAATGCTACGAGTTTTTAATATGCCAAAATGATTTTTTTCAACTTCTGGTTTGGATGGTTTGATTCTTGAGGTGACCACATTTCGGACTTTACGTTGACAAACGAATAAACAACAAGAACAAAAAAAAACCAGAAAAATATACAATGAAAAAGAATTGGAGCTTGTTGTTATGAAATGCGTAAAAAAAACTTATTAATAATAAATAAATGGGTTAGTGAAAGATTGTTAGTTTGTAATTAAGCTACACGATGGGCTATCTGTGCACTGCCCACCACGGGTATCGAAACCCAGATTTTAGCGTTGGGAGTCCGCAGACATTCCGCTGTGCCACTGGGAGGCTAGTGAATAATAAAATTAAAATGAAGTAAATGGATGTTTAGTAGATTTTTACTTAAATGAAAAAATTATAAATACTTTGGGCCTATAAGTAAGGTATATTATAATACCTTTGCTACTGTTTAGCATACAACAAAATGTATTATTTTCATTACTTATACTACACTACAGAAAGACGCACAGAAAGAAGAGCTTAACATATGGAATAAATATGCACAGGCACAACAACCCTATTATCAAATTTTGGTAGTTCTTATTTAGCATAGAACCTATCAAAGTATTTAGTTAAAGTACCTAAGAAATATAAGTAAGGATAACAAAACTCTCAAAACATGACAGAGAAATGTATCACATTCCCCATTTTTCTCATTACCATAGTGTGCACGTGATCCGTCAGGGCCCCGATTTAAAGAACTGGACGACGATAGTGTAATAAAAAAGGTAGTCTGTGTTTATTGTGATGTAAAAGATGTAACGCCCATTCTTTTCTTACACTTAATAATCGCAGCCAATACCAGATTTGAACTGTAAAATGATGCGTGTTACTTCACTCGGATTGGCTGGCACCACGTGGTCTTTGATATCAGTGGCGGTCTCTGCAGAGCTGTCGTGAAAACTCACTGGGAAATCTAATATTAGGTTACAATGTCTGCGGTTCGTGGACTATGTAGGAATGTAACAAAAATCAGTCGTAATTCCGTCAAAGCCTTTTTGCACACTCGTGACTCTGTAAATGCTAGGCATGACTTAATCTATCGTTGTGCTCCTAAAGTAGTTCAGTAGTCCCTCTTTCCGATGGTGACAGTTATTAGTTGATAAATGCATTTTAATATTTAAATGTCTTTAATTTCCTGTGTTGATATTCTAAAGCAGCAGTATCCTATCACATAAACATTTTCGACCAGTTTCCAAACAGTGGTTTAGATATGGCACTAGACGTTGACCATCCAGGAATTAGAGCATGCTCTCCGGAGGCAAACAAGATGAGAAGAAAAGAGAGAGGAAATAATTCCTCTTTTGACAATAAAAATCGTATCTCATATTCGAGCTCCAGAGATAATGTGATGCCACCTGCTGGAAATACAAGGTCACTATATTTTTCTATCACAAATATTTTATCTCCAAACTTCGGTAGGACTGATCCTGGTCAGTGGAGCCGCTCTGACAAGACCTCAAAAATATCCAGACAGAAATCTCCTGCCGATAAGGGGTCGGGTATGCATCAAGATAGTCGCACAAAACCTGCAGGTACGCCTTACACTAAAAGCAAACCAAGTAACCTCAGTTCTCGGCATTTAGCTCAGCCGAACTTCTGGCCAGCGTGGGTTTTCTGCACGAGATACTCAGATAGGCCGGCTTCAGGTGAGTTCAAGATCAACCTTGTATTCATACGATACGTGTTTGCCTCATATGACACTGTCGATCTTGTTGTTAAGAATTTTCAACTATAGGATATTATCCTGAAAACTTCAAAAAAAAAAAGTTTAGCTAAAGAACACTCACGAAAAATTTAAGTTCCTGTAAAACGTGATTTAATTTCCGCCCTTGAAAAACGCAAAATACACACAACGGACGATTTTATGAGAATTAAAGCCACTTCCAGCTGTTAGAACCATAAAAAGGTAAATTACTGGTGTGTGGGAATAAATGTGTAACGGTTAAAACAGGAAACTATAGATATGCAGGTAAATTACTGGTGTATGGGAATAAATGTGAAAACAGGAAACTAGAGATATGCTGGGAATAAATGTGTAACGGTTTACACCAGTAATTTACCTGTATATCTCTAGTTTCCTGTTTTAACCGCTAATTTAGGGCACGAAACCCACCCTGTCCATCGTTGTCTCCAACAAATCGCCTATGGAAGTATTACATTCCTGTGTTATTACTTGGGAACTCTGCGAATTTGACCCGAAGCCTCTAAGAATTACTTTATTTTGCTGAGTCTCTGTGTCTTGTGTATGATATCCGAGTGAGGTAGCAAGCGAACGCATGCCCACGCACGTGCGTTTTTTTATCGTCTGATGGATTTAAATATATATATATATATATATTAATGCCATCATTTTCCTTTTTTAGCTAATTCCATGAAAAACTACCTTTAAAATGACTAAAATTTTATGATTCAATGTTTTAAACCATTGGTCAGCAATACAAGTGAAGGCGGCGTAGACGGCCACCTTAACTTTAAATGCGATTTTAGACAATTAAGGTGAATGTCATGAAAATGCAAAATATTTTAATATGAACCCTTGTTTATTATAAATGTCCTTTTTTGTTAAAACAAATATTGTGCATAGAGCATTTTTTAGATATTGAAAACAACGCACTTCTTATGGTTGGGGGCCGTTTTATCTATAAGGCTGGATAAAACGGACCCACAAGACTGAGTAAAATTGCCCCATTCTAACTCATTACAATTACAATTTAGCTACTGCATTCAAATAATTATTCAAATGCTCCCCGAAGGCTGCAAATTGCGCTTTATCTAGGATAATGGCGTATAAGAACGTGGATACTAGTGTGAGATAAGACTGCTCCGAGGGGCCGTCTTACCCTAAGCCACTCATAGTAGAGCAATTACTCGTTATAAAAAATCAGTGAACTTGAACTTCGTTTCTTTTATAGCATATTCTACTGTGTATAATTTCTCATTGTCTGAAATCAACAAAGTAAAATACATTGAAATATCTATTTTGTACTTATAAGAGATGACCTTAGATCAAAGTTGCTAAGAAACAGTCATTCACGTTCACGCCCGTCCGCTATTGTGTTTATGCACGGAGTTACGCGAACGGTATTTGTATAAAATTCACGCTAGTTGGTAGCACATCATATTAAATGATATAAAGGGGGTGGCCGTTTTACTGTTGCAGGACCGTCTTACTTCACTTTTGCCTAGTAGATAATTTCAGAAGTATCTCGGGGGCAATAAAAAATTATAGGTTCAGAGATATGCTATTGTTTTTTTTTATAGACACACACACGCGCGCGCGCGCAGGCAAGCGCGCGCACACACATATCTCAAAGTTTAGATTGGAGTTGTTTTTATGGAACATACATCATACATAACTAAACATAGACAATTTATATCCTTTCTTGCTGAATTTTTTAGGGGTGAATAACTCAAAATAGTTGGAGGAACAACTATCCGAGTCTTATATTAATACAGTTCCAATCATAATGTTATCAGTGTGTGACAAAAACATTCTGTTCGGTTTGTCTTTCGTAATCCACTTGTCTCTATAAGAAAACAAAACAAAAACATGCTCTGATTCTTTGTATATTTATATGTTATTTTTTTACTCCACTAATGTTATACGCTGTGGTGCCTTTTTTTTTTTTGCTAGACAGAGATGTCAAAATGTCCAGTTGTGAGATTATCTTCGGCATCTGTAAGTAGCTAAGTACTATCATATCAAGATAAATGTATATAATGACATACATTTTTATGGCACGTGTATTTAAACACGTGTAATTGATCGTTACATTTATATTAGGTGGAATAGATAATGCAACACAGCTTCTTCAAATTCTGCGTGTTGTCGGATGTGCAAGTCATGCCTTATCCGTCGTCATACGTTACATGACTTACGTCACCAATTCAGTTGTAATGTTTGAAGTAAATAGACATTAAACAAACTTCCTGCCTATAATAAGTTTATCGTTGTATTAAGGATACATCTTGGGGGTGTCAGTTACATAAAAGCGGAACTATATATATATATACAAGCTATATCGTGGTGTTAACAGAATGCTGGGAAGAATATTGGGATCTGTGCTCAAAGATTTTGGATAACACCTTCATTCTGATTATCTTGTTTCACTAGAATATCGGGATCTGTGGTCAAATGTTTTGGATAACACCTTCATTCTGATTATCTTGTTTCACTAGAATATCGGGATCTGTGGTCAAATGTTTTGGATAACACCTTCATTCTGATTATCTTGTTTCACTAGAATATCGGGATCTGTGGTC